GCTGACCCTTTCCAGATCTTTCCCTTGGTACATTTGGCAGGTTAGCAGGTACTTCCCTGCCACTGGAGTCTTACCCCCCTCTATACCACTTAACCTCTTCACCTTCTGACCCCTCTCCTACCTCCTTTTATCACCCCCCCTTTTCTTTTTTTTTCTCTTCTGTCCCCGTGAGTTTAGGTTCTCACTGGCTCCCTTATCCTACCATTTTCTGACCCACCACATTCACCTTAGCTAATCATGGTTAAGTGGATGCAAGAGGATTCACTTAACACCACAAAATTTGTTTTACTGAATGTACGACTCCTTAGCATTCCAGAAAAGAGATCAGAGTTCTTTCTACTGATGTAAAAACAAAAAGCTGATGTCATCTTCCTTCATGAAAAACATTTCCATACGGATATCATACCAAAACTGACAGATCATTATTACACCAGCATATGCCAGTCTACAAACAATACAGCTAAAACTAAGTTTGTATCCATCCTCATACCGAAACATACTCCCCTACAAATTACAGATTCTTTAGTGGATAAACACGGCCGATTTTTATTTCTGAAAGGCTCACTACACAAAAGACCTATTACCCTAGCAAATATTTACTGCCTAAACATGAAACAAATTGCTTTCATTAAGTCTACAGCGAATCAAAAGATCCCCTTTCATACTGAGCTCCTTGTTTTGGGAGGTGACTTCAATACTCCGCTCCATCCCGTGACAGACATGTCTATTGGCACCTTTGTTCTACCCTGTAGAGCTCTTCAGTGCATTAAGTTGTAAAATCTCTTATTACATGACACCAGCCGTTCCCTAAATCCCAGTATGAAAGATTATACCTACTTCTTGACTCCACACAACTGACATTCTAGACTAGACAATTTATTTTTATCGCAGCTAGACCTTCCCCTACTTATGCAAACCACTTTTGAGCCCATGATTATTTCTGACCACAACCTGATCACAATGACCTTAACCTTTCCTGACTGTAAACCCTGTGGTGCACTGTGGTGCATGGACATATCTTTGCTCACAGACAAGGAGCTTACTTCCCACATTTCCTCGTGTCTTCAGTCTTACTTCCAAGAAAATAATGATCCAGAGATTTCTCCAATCTCCATTTGGGAGGCATGCAAATGTGTCATCAGGGAAGAACTCATCGCATTTATGACCCACAGACAAAGATAAAGACATACATACCTTAACACCTTAATTAAACATGTCCAGGTCTTAGAAATGGCCAATAAACAATCCCAAGCCTAGCAGACTTCCCACAAACTACTCAAAGCAAGAACTTACTTGCTGGAAAAAGTCAATCAAATAAAAAAAACGTAGATATATTCTCACTAAAAAATTCTTCTATGAGCAGGGAAACAAAAGTGGCAAGCTCCTAGTGAGGGCACTACTATCCAAATGGGCAGCTGTCACTATACATAATATTAAGACCTCAGATGGGTGCCTACTAGCCTCTACTGACAACATTTAGCAACAGTTTGTGCAATACTATACCGATCTCTATAATTTGCACAAACACACTCCTACCTTGACTGACCCTGTCCACAGAAAACTCATAAAGGACTTTCTTGCCCAATATAGCCCGACACCACTATCCAATATTGACTCCAAAAAGTTAAATAACCCAATAACATCAAAAGAACTTACCCTAGCCATAAAGCAATTGAAAACTGGGAAAAGCCCGGATTCAGATGGTCTTCCCACTTCATACTACAAGACCTTTGCTGAAATACTTTCTGACCCATTCCATACAGCATTTAATGTATTATGATCCCAACCACCTTAGAAGCACACATCTCCGTAATCCCTAAAGACTGTATGGACCCCACATTAGTCACCAATTATAGCCCTATTTCACTTCTGAACATGGACCTTAAGCTCTACATGAAAATATTGGCCAACTGCCTGCTTCCATTCCTGCTTTCTCTCATTTCAACAGATCAAGTAGGATTCATATCTGGGAGAGAAGCCAGAGACAATACTCTGAAAGCTTTTTGAGTATACACCACTGGCTAACCTCCTCTAAACAACAAGGCTTCTTTCTGTCCCTGGATGTGGATAAGGCAATTGACAGAGTGGCCTGGGACAACATGCAAGCAACTTTAGAGGCAGTCGGCATATGCAATAACATGCTGAGCTTTGTCCTAGCTCTTTATTCAAAGTCAACAATGAGCATTAAAGTCAAGGGCTGCCTGTATGATGCCTTCTCCATATCAAACAGCTCCAGACAGGGATGCCCTCTATCCATGCTTCTCTTTTTGTACTCACTTTGGAAACCTTACTGAGATGGCTTAGAGCCAATGTCAACATCAACGGTATCTAAGACACACCTACAAGATTGCAGCATTTGCAGATGATATTCTGCTATTCCTATCAGAATCCCAGCTTACTATACCAAACTTATTGAAAGACTCTGCCCACTACAAAACCTTATCCAACTTGCAAATCAACTTATGCCCTAAATGTATCACTACCAAAAACAGCAGTAAGTGATTGTAAAATGTGCTATCCGTTTGTTTGGCAATCGAATTCCATTACATAGATTACTAGGGATTAAACTCCCGACCCATTTATCAGATCTCTATTCATTAAATTACTTACCCAGCATACACAATATCCAACATGATCTGCAGTCCTGGCATAAGGGACTATTCTTCTCGTGGTTTAGAAGAGCAGCTATATTAAAAATGAATATCCTTCCCCACATATTATATTCAATGCAGGCAATTCCACTTAAACTATCAAAGTCCTTTTTTGCATCTTATCAAAGAGCCTGCACTCACTTTACTTGGGGTCAGAAATGCCCCATATTAAGCTTATTCGAGATATACATAGGTACTACCTGGCATGCCACCTGACATGGATAGTGGACTGGAACTTACACAAAACAACAAAAGCCTGGGTAAAACTGGAGAACACCTGGACATTTAATCCCATGGCTTCCTATACACCACACCCCCTGGGAATTCAAAGATCATTCTCTAAATGGCCTATCGATACAATGCTTCCACATACAGTAGCTTGTAAAACTTTTGAATTGTCCTCATCTCCTGGACCCCTTACCCCACTCCAGCACAAACCCAACTTCTCCCTTGGAATATCCTCTATTTTCTTATCTAATAACTGACCACACAGTTATGGTCACATAAACAGAACACTTCTTTCATAAGGGAACTTTTCTGCCCTACAAAATGCTAAAGACACAACTGATTGATCAGTCCTTTCCTTTCTGGACATATGTCCAACTAAGACACTTTTTCCGCTACCCAAACATCTTAAATGACTGGTCTAGACTCCATACCCCATTCAAAGCTATTTGTTCCAGAACAACACCCCAAAGAACAACTCTATGATATACACCCTCCTTTTTTCTAAACATATACAGAAGACCAGTAGATTGAGCCAGCACTGGGAACAACAATTTCCTTAGATCTTTCTGATGATGAATGGGAAAGAATCTTTATTCACCTACATAAGGGATCTGTAAATGTATCCATGCAAGAAACAGGCTACAAATTAATGTCGACCTGATACAGAACCCCTGTACTCCTCCACAAATTCTCCCACCCTATTTCTCCCCTTTGCGTAGATGTGGCTTTGATCCTATCTCTCTATTACACATCTGGTGAGCCATCCCCAAAATACAAACATTCCGGAAAGGAGTACATGAAATTATAGCTAAAATTACTACATACACACTGGATTTTTCTCCCGCACAATACCTCTTACACCACTCATCTCTTCCCAAATCTGAGTATCACAGATCTCTGGCAATGCACTTAGTCAATGCGGCCAGATGCTGCATCCCTCCAAAATGGAACACTGAAACTCCCCTTTCTATCATGGAATGGTTCCAACTCATCTGACAAACGGCTGAAATCGAGGAGCTTATTTACATTGCTCATGATACATCAACAAAATTTACCCGCACCTGAGTATGTTGTTTGCATTTTCAGGATATAGCAGAATGGTTACCTGAAAAAAAATCAGAAAAATTGGGGTATGTGACAGTCAGAATCTTCTATTTGTCCATTAGATGCTGCTCCTATGTGATTTTAAAAACTGGGTTTTATGTGTTTAGGTCCAATTTACTCAGGCTGCAGTGTCATATATTCATTTGTAACCTCCATTGTAACCTGTTACGTCTTAGAGTACTACTATCATTATCCCTAAATATGTTTTCACTAGTTGTACATTAATTGTATGGCCTTTGCTTTATTATTTCTCACTTATTCCTACAAACCGCCTGTGATTAGGTCTCTCTTTTTCTTTGTTTTCAGTAGATTTAATAACTTTCCAATTGTCTATGTAAAACAATTCTTCTGTGTATGTTATATTGCATAGACCTCGTCCTATTTACTTCTTTGACTGAATATGTGCAACATGTCTTTGTCAGCATTTAAGCTGTTACTATACACATTTCAATACTATAACTTTGGGATAAAGCAAACAAACAAAAAAAAATTCCTTTAACCACTTGCCCTCCAGAGGATTTATCCCCCCCCCCCTTCCTGACCTGGCTATTTTGTGCGTTATGGTGCTGTGTTATTTAATTGGCATGCAACTCTGCTCCCAAATGAAATGTACTTCCTTTTTCCCATGAATAGAGCTTTCTTTTGGTGATATTTTATCACCTGTGCGTTTTTAATTTTTTGTGCTATAAAAAAAAGGTTGACAATTTTGAGAAACATGTCTTTGCTAAAAATAATTCCAATACGTGTAAATTAATTGGTTTACTTGAAAGTTATAGTGTTTACAAATGGTGGTATATACAGTATACTGAGATTTTTTTTTTTACTAGTAATGGCGGCGATCAGCGACGTATAGCGGAACTGCAGGATTGCGGCAGGCATTCTGACTCTGGGGGGAACTGACTTGGTGTCACTGACATCCTCAGTGACACCAATACAGTGATCAGTGCTAATAAAAAGCACTGACACTGTACTAATGGCACTGGACAGGAAGGGGTTAACATGTGATCAAAGGGTTACCTGTGTGCTGTTTTACTGTAAGCTGTGTGTGTGCTTTCAACTGTAGGCACACTGCTTTGTATGGCTCTGCTATGCAGAACCATACAAAGCAGTGTGCAGCAGCTGACAGTGGAGAGAACTGTATTGTTTACATACAGTTCTCTCCCACGTTGGAAATGGCCAGCGAGTAATAACCTGGTGATTGACAGCCGAGACCATGAATAGCGGTGCAGGTAGGGTGCGCACAACCCCTACCCAGAAATGCAAAATCACATATATATACGTGGTTTTGCGCACCTCTGCCACCCTGTAGCAGTATATCTGCTATAGGGTGGCGGGAAAGCGGTTAAACAACATTCTTGGGGGATAACTTAAACCTATCTGTGAAGTGGAGCACCTCCATGATGTAAACAAGCAAAAGTGATATTTACAAAAGGTAAATATCAGTTAAATTTCCAGCCACTTAAAGACATTTACAATAAATATAATGCAGCACTACCACAGTGTTAGCACAAACAATATAAAAATAAATTATTCAAACTTATAAGTCTAAATTGCTGTAGCTTGTCTAGTGAAGTCAAAGTGTAACACCCATGTGCCTCAACACAATACAGCAGTGATTTCAGCAGTGATGTGCAGGCCCTTCACTGATAATTAAGAGGATTACCTGAGCAGAAACCTCATACATAGAGGTATATTACACTCAGCATGTATTAAATCTTCTCTTTTCCTTCTGCCAGCAAGGACACAAATGGAAGAACAGCATCTGACAAGTGGATTTCACAAACACCAGCAGATCTTGATTACGACACCCCCCAATCCTCTCATCTCTATCAGGCATTCTACACAAATACATGTCTTAAAGGGCAACAAGAAAAGGTTCTCATAGTGCAGTAAATCCTAGCATTTATTGTGTAAAACATGTAAAACCAAGTATAAAAACAAGCCAGCAAAAGACACATAAAACCTGCTTCTCTCCAGGAGACAGCAGCCCCAGACATCAGTGTTCACAAAAAGCTCCACCCAACATGTCTGGTCCAACAAGACGTCTTCTGGGGTTAAGCACACTGACTGAAAGCCAGAATATATGCCAGAATCTGCCCCTCCTCCACATCCCATTCTATTATTCCCATTTATTACTTGCAAAAATATGTGCATTTATTATTTTTTTAAAGGTGAGCTTATTCTTTAATACTGGTGTGTCTAAACTCAGAAATCCATTGTGCTTATACTAATACTAATATAAAGTTGATGTTAAAACAACTTATTGGTGTCCCAAGTTTTGTCTAGGAGATAACTAAACTAATGGAAAAAAATGACCATAGTATCCATGATTCCATGTCAATTTTCCACAAGAAATGGGACTTTTTGAACATATATTAAGGTGCCATATGCAGTTAATCTCTGCAATTTACAAGTATATTTTGTATACTTGGGATTAATGCAGTATTTATGTTTTTCCTTTTATTGGAGTACCAATGCAACTCAATATGTATTATGTATTAAATATCTTCAATTAATGTTATCTGCTTTTCACAATAAAAATTGTTTGTAAACAAAAATAAAACTGATTTGTAGGGCTCTGTATGGGAAAATCCTTCCAATCAGGAGCTGACACACTGACAGGTTTTCCACTAAAAGTAGAACAACCCTTTAAATGAAAAAAAAACAAAACAAATACTACCTTTCTGGAACATACTGTATCTTGCCACTTTTTTTTTAAACTTGTAATGCTATGTCCTCATTCTAAGAGCAAAAATTCAGTTTTAATAATCATCTTGAAACCTAGCCCCCAAATAGTGTTTGCAAATCAAACTGCTGGAGAGAAAAGGCAACACTTTGGTTAATAAACAGCTGCAATTATACCCTGGAAAATATGCTCAGGTAGAGAGAAATTAGTCATTTAAATGAACCATAAATTAGGATCAACCTAATTTCAGTCTATTAAAATGGAAAGCACATTATCTCACATTCAAAAGCAGTTGATGTAAATGGAACAAATTCAGGAAATTTTGAAGTGTGCTGTGATTTTTCATTTGCATACTTATCCAATGTGGAAGGGAATGGAGCTAAAAAGGGGAGAACAGACGGAACAATAATTAGTTATGTAAATAATGTGGCATTCTTGTTTATAATTAGTTGAAGAATAAAATAAAATGCATGCATGTCAGAGGACTAATTTTCATATGCAAATTAACAATCAAAATTATAAACAGTAATATGCGGTTAGGGAACGTGTGGCATTTTTAATTTATTAACAGAAGTGCTATTTTAGGCTGATTTTGTCAGACATGAGAAAGTGCTAGATGTTACTTGAGACTTTTATCCATCTAAAAAGATAGAAACATAAAAAAAATAGTCTTGTTAGTCATTTTTATGAATTAGATGAAGATGAATCTGCATAACTTTAACATAAAATGTTATAAATGTACAATTAAAAGAGTACAGCAATTAAAACGTCTTAATGTATTATGAGTTTGTATGATGAAAATGTAAATCCCTGTTTACCTTGATTAAGAGGCCTCAGTACACACATGATTCCTGACTGAAATTTCTTGTTTGCTTTTCACTGTAATGTTAACTTGTCCATAATTCAGGACTTTAACCACTTCATGCCCTTAGGCCGTATATAATCGACCTTGGTTATACCAGAATCATGGCTGTAGCTATAGCCACAAACCTGGTGTTATTTTTTTCAGCCAGCAATTCTTTTTTTTTTGTAAAACTGATCATCATCATCAGTCCCATTGGGGTGTCCAGAGCCACTGTGGGCATTTGCATGGGCTGACCATAGAAAGGAAGGAGGAACATTTATTCCCCGATCTTCTCTATCATGTATAAAAACTGGAAGCAATGAGGATTTTGTCAATTCCAGATTTGATTGTTTGTTTACTGGGCAAATATTGCCTAATAAAGCAACTGATCAAACTGATCCCAGTTTGATCAGATCTTTTGGAGAGCAGAGGAGAGATTGGGGGTCTAATAGACCCAGATCTCTCAATAAACAGTACCTGTCACTGCCCATGCTGTCACAAGGGATTTTGTTCATCCCTTGTAATAGCAATAAAGTTGATTAAAAAATACAAATTAAAGAGACAGTGTAAAAATATAAAGTAAATAAATATTAAAATGTAAAACATGTTTAAAACACTCCTGATATAAATATGGGGGGGGGGGGGGGTTCTGGACTCCCCCTATTTATTATACAATTATGTACTATTTTGTCCCTTCCTATAATTAATTAGTAAATATATAAGCTTTGACAATATTGATGGACAGAATATACTGCAATATTAGCTATAATAACAAACACACACAATGCTCAAAGAGCAAAGGTCTTATTTGCTTACAAAGGAAGTAAAACACTAACAGAGAAAGCTAAACCAATATTACAGAGTATATAGGAGTTCATCCTCAAAGCTGAATATCTTTTAGCTGGATCCCAGGTAGGAAAAATGGTCAAAGAGAGAAGAGGCAGAAGCATGGCCAAAACTGTGTTTAAAAGCACTCTCAAACACCACCCACACACACCCTTGACCTGCCTGGTGTAGTCCTCCGTCCAATGAGCAAACGTCCATAACTCATAAGGGGCTGTCCTTCCTATTCATTAGGAAGTGTAAAATTACCCCAGCCATCCTCCCGGAAGTATGTCATCTCCACCAGGGGGCACTTCTATATTGCCAACAATGCTCGGATCCAGGTCAACCACATCAGGCTTCTTCCTTCTGGCTAGAAACCATGTAATCTGTCCTTTTAATAATCGTGGAACCAGGTAGTCTGGGCTGAGGCTCTCCTATCTCCATGTTCCACCACTAGGGGGTATGTGTGAACTCCCAGGACAAGGATTTTGGTATGCAGCCTTTTTTTACACACATCCTGTTGTAAATACTTGCTTTTCTTGACACTCCAAGATAACATTCCATAGGCCAAATAGTTCTTTGACAACCACGCAGTAAGAATCCATAAATGTCTGAAATAAAAAAAAACATGTTGCCTTCCAACAACTCCCATCCTCCCACGATCAAGCATAATTGTGAGATAGGACATTTGCGCATTTGTAAACGATGATCGAACCAAACATCAGAGTGAAAGCAATAATTCCAGTGCCAGATCTCTTGTGTAGCACTAAACTGATAACCTGTAGAGTTGAAACATCACCTAAAGATTATTTAATGTACCATAGTTTTTGCCATTCCATGGGCATGTGCAATTCTAAAGCATGATAATCTTTTATACACTGCTCAAAAAAATTAAACAAACACTTTGAAAATACATCGGATCTCAATGGGGAAAAATATCATGCTGGATATCTATACTGATATGGACTGGGTAATGTGTTAGGAATGTAAGGATGCTCCATTGTTTGATGGAAATGAAAAATATTAACCTACAGAGGGTAATGGGTAATGAATAAGCGCTGTCTTTAGCGTCAACGAGTTTCCCTGCCAGTCCCCCACTGTATTTCCACTGTCTGTATTGGTTTTATCATGGTTCAATAAAGTGGATTCTTTGGAGTGCAGCCAATCGGACGTCCTTTGTTCTTATCAACCTATAGAGGTCTGAATTCAAAGACACCCTGAAAATCAAAGTGAAAAAATTATGCAGCAGGATAGTCCATTCTGCTGAAATTTAATTACAGCAACTTAAAATAGTACTCAGTAGTTTGTATGGCCCCCACGTGCTTGTATGCATGCCTGACAATGTCGGGGTATGCTTCTAATGAGACGACAGATGGTTTCCTGGGGTATTTCCTCCCAGATCTGGACCAGGGCATCACTGAGCTCCTGGACAGTCTGAGGTACAACTGGGCGGCGTCGGATGGACCAAAAAATGATACCCCAGAGTTGTTCTATTGGATTTAGGTCAGGCGAGCATGCTGGCCATTCAGTGGTATCAATTCCTTCATCCTCCAGGAACTGCCTACATACTCTCGTCACATGAGGCCGGGCATTGTCGTGCACCAGGAGAAACTCAGTACCCACTGCACCAACATAGGATCTGAGAATAGGTCCAAGGATTTCATCCCAATACCTGATAGCAGTTAGGGTGACATTGTCTAGCCTGCAGAGGTCTGTGCGTCCCTCCATGGATGTACCTCCCCTGACCATCACTGACCCACCACGAAAACGGTCATGCTGAATGATGTTACAGCATAATGTTCTCCTCGGCTTCTCCAGAACCTTTTACGTCTGTCACATGT